TAGGTATTTAAAAATACTCATTCCAGATTTGCAAAACAGATTTCACATATATAGTAATTATATCACAGAAAATGTGCTATGCTTAGATAATATTTAACAGATCAACTTAAATTTAGGCTGTCTCTACTAGGGCAGATGCAATCATTTCTGTAAGATTGACCTAGATATTCCTTAATAGGACAGGAGGTAAATCTACTTGATGGCAGTTCATGGATGCTGTATGGACACTTGAATATGTGTGTGAAAATGCCTCCCAAGTCCCATGAAGTTGAGGTGCCATGAAGAAGGTTTTTAAATATCAGAATAACCAAATAGGTCCTTTTAAAATACAAACTGGCCTCACTCCAAGCTCTACTAAATCAGAATTTCCTGAGACAAGGGCCAGGAATATTCATATTTTTTAAAGACCTACAAATATTTCTGGTTTGTCCAACTTGTTATAAGTTACTGGGGCAATATCAAGATGATTTACTTTCTACACTAATGGACCTGGAATGGAATCCCTTTTAAGACTGTTAATAAATTTGTGACTTTAGAAACCTCATGAATTCAGTGAACCTCCATTTTTCTAATTTGAAAATGGAAATAAAACACCTTTCTTACAGTGTTCTTGTGTGGAGAAACAACTAAAACATCTAGGTCAGATTTCATAAGCAAGTATCATCAGGGATCTGGTATGCGACCTATATGCATGAAGAAGATGGTGATGCAACAGAGAGTACTGGGGATTGTGGCTAACTGTAGAACTCAAATTCTGCGTAAATTATTAAAAATGTTTTTTTAAATACTTGGCTGACTAAACAAAATGTATCAGACATGACACCTATCCCTAATATACAGGATCAGTAAATAATCAATATTCAAGTGGCACTGTGGGCTAATGTGCCAGACTTCAAAGCCGTTTGAACTGCAAGAACTGCAGTTCTAGCTCACCAGCTGCTCCTTGGAAACCCTATACAGGGTCGCTGTAGGTGGAACTGACTCGATGGCACTTCATGACGATGATATATGAAACATGGACTTCTGGTGTGGTGCTATGGGCTAATGTGCTAGAATGCTAAGTTGGTTTGAACCTCAAGGTCGGTGGTTCAAGCTCACCAGTCACTCCTTTCTATCTCTCTAAAGAATGTCGTTGGAATCTGGATTGGGATTGCATCAAATGTATAAATTTCTTTGGGCAGTATTGACCTTTTCACAATATTATGTCTTCCTATCCAGGAGCATGGTATATTCTTCCATTTTTGTAAGTCTCTTTTGGTTTCTTGTAGTAGTATTTTGTAGTTTTCTTTGTAGTAGTTTAGTTTTTTGAGGAGTCAAAGTTACATATGGATTTTCTACTGTGGTGACCCTAACTCCTTCATTGGAGGATCAGCTGTTCTCTGGCAGCAAATAAATTGCTTTCTAGATTTCACAGATCCATAAATAGAGAGGAATTTTTGCCCCAGGATGTGAAACACCTACAATTGATTTAAAGATTCAAAAGATAAGATTTTGGATTTAGAATGGATGTTGGAATGGGTTAAGACTTTAATGATACTGAGATGGGAAAGTGTATTTTGCATGTGAGAAAAATACTAATTTTGGGGAGCCAAAGTGTGGAGTGTTATGAATGGAATTATGTCCTGCAAAAAGTTATGTTGAAGTCCTAACACCTATACCTGTAAATATGACCCTGTTTAGAAAGGGGTTTTTCTTGTTACATACTGAGGTCATACAGGCGTTGTTGTTGTTAAGTACCGTGGAGTCGGTTCCAACTCATAGCGACCCTATACAGGGTTTCCGAGGCTGTCAATCTTTACAGGAGCAGAAAGCCTCATCTTTCTCCCATGGAACATCTGGTAGTTTCAAACTGCTGACCCTGAGGTTAGCAGCCCGATTTGTAACCAGTTTGCTACCAGAGCTCCTTATCAGGCTGGGTCTTAAACTTATTCCCTTCTGAATTTTATCTTATAAAGGGCAGGACAGCTAGAAAGAGACAGATTCATTCAGGGAGATGAGAACTGTCTGTAAACCAAGGAATGCAAAACAAAAGATAACAACAACAAAAACCCTAGAGCTAGTGACAGGGAGAGATTAGCCTCTATAACTCAACTCAAGACAATAAATTTCTACTACTTAAAGTTACTAACTTGCAGTATTTTCTTGTGTGATGGTAGTCAGGTAACTAAGACAGAAGATAGCAAACATGTCTGTCTAATATGAAATGAAGGAGCTCTGTAAGCATAGTGGTTATAAGTCCGGCTGTTAACCTCAGGTCAGTTGTTTGAAACTACCAATAGTTCTGTGGGAGGAAGATGATACTTTCTACTCCTATAAAGATTTACAGCCTCAGAAACCCTATAGAGAGTTGCAATGATTTGGAACTGGAGTCCTGGTGTGGGGCTGTGGGTTAATGCGCCAGACTGTAAAGCTGTTTGAACTACAAGGTCCGTGGTTCAAGCTCACCATCACTCCTTGGAAACCCTATACAGGGTCGCTATGGGTTGGAATCGACTTGACGGCACTTAACAACAACATAGTTTGAGCCACAAGGTCAGTGGTTCAAGCTCACCAGCTGCTCCTTGGAAACCCTATACAGGGTCACTATGGATTGGAACCAACTAATAGCACTTAACAACAACAACAACATACACCACACAATCACCACCAAAACTTCACTCATATAGAAATAGAAATTGAAGCACTTTAACCTACTGGACTGAAGGATACAGGGTCTCATGCATTTGCTTGTGGGGGGTGGGGAGGGGTGGAGAAGGGTAGGGAAGGAGCAGGGGACGGATGAGAGTGTTGCAAATTGGTGCTACCTTTGTTAAGAACAATTTAATGATATTTACCAAAATAAAAAATGTACCTCCCCTTGACTTACACATTAAAAATAAATTTAAGACCTACATAGAAAGAAACTAATTGTAAAAATTTTTTGTAATTAAAAAAGAGCAATTTAGATATTCATTACTAAACAACTTGTAAATTGAGCCATGGCCAAAACAAAACATGCAATTCTACATAGTTATTAAAAAGAATAATGGTAACAAGGATATTTCTAAGAAATATTAAGTGGGGAAAATTGTACAGAAGGAATCTGATTGCACTTGTATAAATTTGGAATGGGGGATGGTATAAGGAAAGTAGGTTTTGATATACACATATAGACAAATATTTTTCTAAAAGAAAAAAATATACAAGAACTGAAAAGTGGTTATTTTGGGGAGAGGAACTAGGTGGGAAACAAATGAACATGCAGACTAGAGGAATGCTTTTATTGTATATCTTTCTGAACTCTTGGACAATTATAATCATTCCACTGTCTGCCTTTTTTTTTTCCTTAAAGATATTAAAAAAGATATTACTCATTAAGGAAATTTAGCATACAAATAGCATGATGCAATATTAAATATTAAACAGAGAGGCCTTTTCTTGTGATCTTGTCTACTATCTACAACAGAGAGATTATACTAATTTTCCTCAGTGCCAAAGGCCTGAAAATGCAGTTCTGTTTCAAATATTTTCTTATTGCCATATTTAGATTTCAAAGAAATACCTGCTACTGTGTGAGAAATCCTGCTGACTTTCACATTATCCTTCCTTCAAGCTAAAGTCATGTGCAGCAGGCTTTGTTCAGCTTCACAGATAACTCTTAGTTCCATTGTCTTGTCCACTAAACTATAAAAGGTGCCTCAGGGATATAGTCTTGGTTCTTCATAGAACATAAGAATGGACGGATGGAGCAATGGGTGGAGAGAAGGAAGGATGGAGAATAGAAAGAGCACCTTCTGTTGAGATAATCTGGTCCTTGAGACAGTGAAGTCTCACTTGTTTTTTGTGGTCTCAAGTCCAGTCAACCAATGGCATGGAAGTTGAAGCAGAGTCTGGAAGCTACTGGTTAGTTTTAGAAGGCTCCGTTTATTTCATTCAGCCATTCATTTATTCAAAACGACAGCCACCTCTGGGAATCCTTGGTTATCTCCCGTAAGTCACACTTTGGCAAATCTCAATAGACTGCTTCTTTTTTACATTTTTCATTAACACAAGATTTCTCTACTTTCCTAACTTTCAGGCCAAGCACAGTGTTTATGGAAAAGTCCTATCCTCTTTTAATTAATTTCTGGTTTCCACCATTTAACATTTCTTCATTTTTAGCTTCTTTCCACAAATGTATTGAATACCATGTACAAGACACGAATCTCAGGACTGGATTTGACATTCATAACTCCCTGGCATGAGGGAGATTTTAAAAGCCCATAGAAAAATGCAATTAAAAGATAATGGAATTCTTCCACAGACTTTTTGAAACATCCTTGTACTACAGCTTATCTTGTCTATTGCTGACTTTTGGTCTTGGCTTATTAGCTAAGACAACTGGAAAGGCACAAAGTAATTTCAAATGGCCCATTTAATCACTAAGTAAAATTATTAACTGAATTAATTTAAGTACAATTTACTATTGTGTGGAAGTTTAAACATCGTAAAACTGCAGAGCCATCACACTGAAAATGTTGGAACTATTAGTGGTGGCAAGAGAGATGAATAGGAGACATATAACTATGCCAGAGGGCATTTATCCTGTTTCATAGGAATCAGGAAAGGTGAGAAATATCCTTAAGTACATTTTTGGACACTTCAATCCCACCTCCATTTAAAAACAAATAATTTAAAAATATCACATTAATTTACCTTTAGTAGGGATAGCCAGAACATCTTAAGCATAAACATCATTTATTATTTTTCAATATGAAAAGTGAAAACATTCCTTACATGGAGAATAGTACCACACACATGGTTATTTTATAAGTAAATACGATCTATTTTCTCTGACAGTGAAAATATTTTGTGAGTTTATAGTTGCTGAAATTGAAATGTAGTCAAACTTACAAACAATAAAAAATATCTTAAGCTTCATTCTAGCTTAGTACCCTACCTATAACTTTTGTGAATCATTTACACAATCAGAATCATTACACAACCAGTGGGGCTTAAAAGGACTTCCAACAGTCACTTACGTCATGTAGGTGAAAAATGTGCTGAGGGGTTCCAGGGAATGATTCCGGAAATATTCAAACTCTCTGCATAGCTTTTTCCTCATTTTTGTATCAATGATGGAAACAGTAAGAGGACCCGTATGATCAGCCAAGAAGTTGCCATAATCAGTGGTCTGGAGATGAACCTTCAGATCTAAAATTAAATGAAATCGCAAATCAGGTTAAATTTAGGGCATGTATAACAACCTTTACAACAGGATCAGCAATGGACTGTGAACCACCAGGTTGGCAGTTCAAATCCACCAGCTGCTCCTTGAAAAGCCTATGGTTGCTTTGTCAGAACTGACTCAATAGCACTTAACAACAACATGATAGCCTTTACAATAGTAATTACATTTATGGTAATTTTTAGATGATGCTGTTGTTTTGTGCCGTGGAGTCGGTTCTGACTCATAGCGATCCTGTACAGGGTTTCTGAGGCTGTAGATCTTTACCGGAGCAGAAAGCCTCATCTTTTTCCCGCGGAACAGCTGGTAGTTTCGAATTGCTGACCTTGAGGTTCGCAGCCCGATTCGTAACCACTACGCTACCAGAGCTAGTAATTTTTAGATACATAATAATTATTATCTAATTGGACTTCTGGTGTGGCGTTGCCAGTTAATGCGGTAAACTGCAACGCTGGTGTGGGCCGTTAAGGCCGGCAGTTGTAACTCACCAGTTGCTCCTTGGAAACCCTGCACTGGGTCGCTATGAGTCAGATATTGACTGGATGGCTCTTAGCAAGCAAGCTGCAATTAGACTTTAGGAGTCCTGGTGTGACGCTATGGGTTTATGTGCTGCTGTACTGCAACTTTGGTTTGAACTGCAAGGTGGGTGATTTAAATGCACCAGCTGCTCCTCAGAAACCCTATACAGGGTCACTATCCGTCGCAACCAACTCAATGGCTCTTAACAACAACAATTAGACTTCAACATATCCATCACCATCAAGTTGATTTCAACTCATAGTAATGCTATACGACGGAGTAGAACTGCCAAATAGAGTGGCTAAGGTTGTAAATCTTTTACAGAAAAAGACTGCTACATTTTTCTCCTGTGGTGCAGCTGAGAGTTTCAAACAGATGAGCTTCCAATTAGCTGACAAAGACTTAACTACTATGTCAACAGGTCTTCTACAGAAAATAACATGGACTTATATCATTTAGATTTCAGTGGTGGTCTCTATTAGCTGAAAGGTTGGTGGTTTAAACCTAGTCAGAGATAGCTCAAAGAAAGCAGTGTGGTCTGCTTTCCAAAGCCTTGAAACCTATGGAGCATTTCTACTTTACACATCTGGAGTCACTATGAGGTGGAACTGACTTGACAGCAACATAAATATCCTATGAGGGGGTCTTCAAAATGTCATGGATAATATGTATTATGAAAAAAAAATCTATGCCTGGATTTCAAAAATGTTTTGCACCATAGAGTTGCTATGAGCTAGAACTAGTTAGGTGGAAGTTAACAACAACAACTTGTTATAACATGTCTGAACAGGATATAGTTTGAAGCACTAAGAAAAATAGACATCAGTTAGAAAAGAACCCCTATCAGAGAAAGACAATTCTGTAAAAATTGAAACAAGAACAAACATCAAATTTATGGTAAAGTGTGAGTAGAAAAATGGTAAAATCATTAGTGTTTTATGAATAGCTTATGGCTCTAATGCCTCCCAAAGAAATCAGCAGTTTATAAACGGAAAATTCATTTTAAAAAGGGGCAAGACAGTGGTGATGATGAAACATGTAGTGACAGACCATCAACATCAATCTGTGAAGAAATGATCTTTTAAAGACAAGGAGTCCTGGTGTGGTGCTGTGGGTTAATGTACCAGACTGCAAAGCCATTTGAACTGCAAGGTCGGTGTTTCAAGCTCACCAGCTGCTCCTCGGAAACTCTACACAGGGTCACTATGGGTCAGAATCGACTCGATGGCACTTGACAACAATGGCAATTAAAGAGAACCAACAAGTACCAGCAGAAACAATAGCCAACACCATAGATATCTCTGCTAGTTTAGCATACACAATTCTGACTGGAAAATTAAAGTTGAGCAAGCTTTCTATTTGATGGGTGCCAAAAGTGTTGTGTGTAAGTCAGCTTGAAAAGTAATAATTTGTTAGTTATGTCTAACTAACAAATGGGAGGTGGGGCAGGCAGTAATCAGTGCTTTGTTTCCATATTTTCTATTGCAGATAAAGAAACTGAGGTTCAACAGAGTTAAAGGATAGTTACGTAGTGGTCCGAAGTATATGTGAAGTACATACTTCAGACGTATCAGAAGAAACCAGTCCCTGGAGAAGGACATCATGCTTGGTAAAGTGGAGTGTCAGCAAAAAAGAGGAAGGCCCCCAATGAGATGGATTGGAACAATGGCAGCAGCAATGGGCTCACGTGTAGCAAGGATTGTGAGGTTGGTGCAGGACTGGGCAGTGTTTCGTTCTGTTGTGCATAAGGTCACTATGAGTTGGTATTGACTTGGCAGCACCTAACACAACATGTAGTGGTAGTGTTTGGGCTAGGAGATAAGATTTCCTACTCTAGAATCCAACACCATTTCACTTGTCCATGTCAAGCATTGCTTGAATGGCAATGTGTCTGGTCGTTACCTAACTAGAGTGAATTGAATTCCAATTATATTTGCTGCCACTTCCTCCTAAACAAACCATTCATTTTAAGTATGAATACTTCTGTTAATGTGACCCCTCTCTCTAGAATTCCCCCTACTCCACACCTGATTTTCAGACTTGCTCATTACAACTGCAAGGTCTTGGCTATAACATAAAATTATAGTTATCAGTGACTGAATGCATGCCCTTTACTAAGTATTATACTAAGTATGGGGGCATTTGTAGCTCAGTGGTAGAATGCTCACTGTCATGGGGGAGACTGGGCTATTTCCCAACCAATGCATCTCATATGCAGTGATCACCTGTCAGTCATTGGAGTCTTGTATGTTGTTGTGAGATTGAACAGACTTCTGTCAAACTTCTTAAGATAGACGAGGGAGAAAGGTCTGGCAATCTACCTCCATAATCAGCCATTGAAAACCCTATGGTTCACAATAATCAGGTTGTCATCTTATTATGGGGCTGGCACAGTAGTGGCAGTGTTTCATTCTGAGTTGTGCTGGCTAGATGGCAGCTAACAACAACATTGTATTAAGCTCTTTACTTGTATTAGCTCATTCAATACTCATGGCACTCCTATGAAATGGAAACAGTATAAACACTGAAGCTCAGAGAGGTTCATCACTTGCTGAAGATCACATAGGTTAACTGGAATTCAAAGCCAGACATACCTGACTCAAAGCCACTTGAAATTATAGTGCCAAAGGAGTAAATTAGAGGATCATTTGCTCTATGAAGCCTTAATTTTCAGGCAGAATTATTCAAATTTCTGAATCTTCAAGTGTTTTGATAATATCTTTAGCATAGCATTTACATCATGTATTTTACTGTCTTAAGTAGGTTAATTTAAATAAATGCAGATATATTATTTTAATTATAGCTTTAATTTTTAATCTGTAGTTCCTTACATTGTACTCAACACTTAAATGCTAATGAATCTCTAAACATCAAAAATGTTTTAAGCACCCAATTGAAACCAATATGTTGTTATTGTTCCCACTCACAGC